AATTAAATAAATAATAGAAGCAATAAGCAATATTGGTAACTTAATGAATCTATCCGAAGGAACGCCACCCTTAGATAGAGCCGATAACTTGACCTTAATCTAGTTCGAGCAGTGGAAGTCGACCGGATCGATGCAGCCGTACTTGAACTAAACAAGAGTCGATAACTAGCTTATACCAGAGTTATAGTGGAGGTCGACCGGATCGATGCAGCTGTACGAATAGAAGTATGAGCCATGACTGTACTTACAGACAAGCCGGAGGTCGGCAGGACCGATGTAGCCCTGCTCGCTGAAGAACTCGTCGAGATCTAATCTACTCCACTCCTAAGGGGTGGCCGGAGAAAAAAAAAGTAAATAACTTGTATTGAATTGATTGTGTCCTTTACAATAGCCGGGGTTTAATATTTATACCTGGAACCTAAATATGACTCCTACTTAAGCACAACTTATCATAATTTTGGCCTTAGAGAAAACATTTCTAATTCAAGATAACTTGGACCCTAATTTTCTCTTTTTGTAGAGTCCATCATGTTTTTTCTGGCGCTGATCGTAGCTTTTATCGTTATCTGCTGGTGCTATCCAAGAGAGCCGATTTCAGTACTGCATTTGAATCAGCTGATATCGACCTTTACGCAATCGATTTCTCAATGACATGATCTTAGGAACTTTCGAGTTTCTGTAATTTTTTTCCAAATTTTGGTGTAAACACATATGGTGTATCATTTTTTTATACTTAACATGTTTGTTAGACATCATCTGGATAGGCAAAGTATCTAGATCGAGAAGATACATGGCACACAAAAAGGTGAATAACCGCTGAGTACTTTTTTTTTTTGCAACACACATATATATGTTTGCTCCACTAATGTCATGGCCTGGTTGTTGGAGCCCGTTCGCATCGTGGCACGCATACAAGTGTGTGCCTTGCCTTCTACATTTTTAAACTCAAAATAGGTACATACAAATAGTGATCTTTTCAAATTAAGTCAATATCCTGTTAATTTTCCACACATAATTAATATTTTATTGCACTAGCATTTATTGCCTTGAAATTTATTGATATAGCTCATTTTTATTGGCACGAGTGTGCGAGCACCATGCAACAAGTTATGTATCTAAAGTCTCGGATGTACATACACTACCTGCCGCATTGAATCATGATGCGGATGCATACCAACCTAGGCAACAGTGTAACACATGGAACATCATTGGAATGCATGGTCCCTTAGATTTGGTGCATAACTACGATCGATCGGTGCAATCTGTCTCCTCTCTCTCGCCGGCCGGCCGGTATGAGCCGTCGGTGTCGCCGTCGATGCGCATCCTAAATCCTACAGGAAGCTAGTTCTTGCCTCCAAACTGCGTAGGTTTGATCAGAATTCGTCTCGTTTAGTGAGTCGCCTCCTAGTCGCTCAACCGCTCGTATATACATCTAGACTGGAATCTAGCTAGGATGGGCCGCAGTATAGATGACCAATGGGCTGGCCCGGCATGGCACGACATGGGCCCGTGCCAAGTCCGGCCCGATGGAGTCGGGCCGGCATGGCACGCTGTGCCTCCCGGGCCGTGCCGAGCTGGGCTTCGTGCCTGCTAGCGGACGCGCCGGCACGGCCTGCTGGGCTATTTTTCGTGTCGGGCCAGCCCGGTAAGCACGGCTTGTGAAGCCTCTCGGGCCGGCCCAAGCCCGCTTGGCAGGGGGAGGCAGCGCCGTGGCGGTAGCAGGAGCCCTCACGGCCGGCGGCCCGACGCCCCGCGGTCGTCGCTCTCAAGGGCGGCGAGCCTGTGGCAATGGACGAGAGGGAGGAAGAGAGGAGAGAAGGGGAAGGAGACGACGAGCGGCGTGTTCCACGTGGCCGCAGCCTGGCGCGAACGCACGACCTCCACACGCAGGGCACGGTCGCTGTCGGTCTGCCAGCCAAGCCGCCGCCGCAACCGGTCGCTGTCGTGGAGGAGGGCGAGATCTGGTGGATTCAGAGAGAGAGCGGGGGCCACCGGCAGCGTGGAGGAGACGAGGAGGTCGTCGATGCTCGAGGCCACTCCGCTCGAAGCCGCCGCTGCGAGGGCACGGAGGAAGAGGCCAAGGGGGCCGCCGGCAGCGTGGAGGACGACACGGACGGGGCTGGCAGCGGCGTGGAGGACGACACGGACGGGGCCGCGTGGACGAGGCGAGCAGGCTGAGTGCGACGCCTACACGGGGTGGGTGGGGGAGGGGGTTGCGCGCAGGCGAGCGCGAGCACAGAGAGCGAAGGGAGTGCGACGGCTGGGGGCTAAGGGGAGAGGGAAATGAAGTTAGGGTTGCTGCCGTGCTGCCGGCCTGTTGGGTGCTGCTGCTGCCATCGTCCACGTGAGCGGGCCGCCACTGGGCCGTATGCTGTGGAGCGGGCCGTGCCGTGCCGGCCCACGTGTCTAGGGTAAGGCCCAGGCACGGCCTGCTCCTCCGGGCCATGCTAGCCCGGGCCGGGCCATGCTTGGGCGGGCCAAAAAAAAAAAAGGGTCTCATGCCGGGCTGACGGGTTTCAGCTGCATGGCCATATATGGGCCGCCGAAGCTGCATGTGTATGCACGCCATGGCAAAGAGATAGAAAGCGCACCCGACTTGTCCTCTGCATGTCCATCATCCATGCAGGAAAACAGACAACACAAGGAGAAGAAGCACATGATGGGATCGGAACGGTCCTGTGGTTCCTTGTCGTCATCCTCCCAACTATAGCTTTGACAAACAATTCATCCCCAGAAACAATAAAGAATTATGTTGTTTGAACTAGTCATTTTTTAAATTCAAATTTTCAATTATTCAAACAAAGTCACATGAAAAGATGATCAAACTAAAAGTTGCAGATCTCTAAAAATTATAGGACTTTATAGTTGACAACTTTTTCATTTGAAATCATTTTGTCAAAGAAAACTACGTTTGAATTTTTCAAAATTGAAATTTGAAAATTTCAAACTACCTCGGATGGAGAAACACCCAAAACGAAAGTTGTAAATCTCGAAAAGTATAGAACTTTGTAGTTAACAACTTTTTCATTTGAAATCATCTTATCAAAGAAACTATGTTTGAATTTCTCACATTTGATATTCGAAATTTTTAAACGACCTCGGATGAACAAACAACAAAAACGAAAGTTGTAGATCTCAAAAAGTTATACAACTTTATAGTTGCCAACTTTTTCATTTGAATTCGTTTAGGGTCTTAAACAATTAATTTAAATTCGGTTGATGATAATATGAGGAGAAAGAAAATCTATTTTCAGTAAGTGTGAGGTGCAGTGGTTAGAAGAGTACGCGTGTGAGGGGAGGTCACGTGTTTGATTCCCGGCCGCCGCGAAGCACGCGATTTCAGCAAAAAATGCTGGGATTTGCTATTTGTAGGGGCTGCCGACGAACCGCCCCTACAAATCGACGATTTACAGCAACGGTTTGATAAGGGTGGCTGGTGAAACCGCCCCTATAAATGCCCATGAGCCGCACCTACAAATCGTGGCTTAATAGTGTTGAACCATATTGCTCTTGTATGGGTATTTGGCTAGGCTAGAGAGTAATTGCTTTCTTAATATGTAATAGCCTTGTAAATAAGAGGATTAGTTACCCAAGGAACCAATCTCTTTCACCACTTTCATTTCCTAGGGTTAGCTAAGTGCAACTGCAAAGTGCTTAGCAAAAGATAGACCAGAGAGAGAATTTGCGTGGAATTCATCTCACTTGTCCCCTCTCTTTGAATTTCTTATTTTTGTTCTTTTTTGGAAAATAGGTCAGCCCGGTTTTGAAAAAGGCTAGGTTGGTTTGGCATACCTCCCGGCTGGTTTTACTAATTTTTGGGTCAAGAACCCAACAGACCCTAGTTTTTTTGTTTGGCTAGGTTAATCCCACCTCTGATCTCTTAACTTAAGCACGTGATGTGCAAGAAAAAAAAAAGAATAAGAAGAATGTGTCACGATCGTCCCACCAATATTCCTTTGTAACCTCGGGTTTTGATTTCTTCACTGTCTTGTCAGCCGCCGCCTCACACTCGAGCCTACGTAGACGAGAAACACGAAAGGACAAGCAAAAGATGAAGCTACGTGCTGGGCCGATTTCACCAATAAGCCTGACACCATGGCATCTAAAAAACGGCCCAATTGCTCCAGCCAAGTGGGCAATCTAAAGAGAGAATTCAACCTCCTATTTTATTATAACCTAGTAGTTGTTGTTGTATTAAATAGCACATGGTTTCACAATATTGATATAGGCAAGTATTGAAGAGATCAAATTAGTGCATCAAAAAGTGCTACCAGCTAATTAAGGAACATAAGCATACGATCACAGTTTGGCAACCCCAACGATCTCAGGATTTGCCTGGCCGATCCTAAAGAGTCAAGATCCCAGGATTTACCATGTAGTAGTTGTCATCCTGCTCAAATTCCTCCAGTGGTCAGAACTTTAGTAGCCAGCGATTCTCTACATCTTTTCAGTTGTATTTAATTTCCAATCTACTTGGAACTTTTTCGAGAAATTATCACAGAAAATAGCATCAATTCGATTTGAATCAGTGAGATTCCATGCTAAAGATGCTTCACAGAATTCTAGCTTGGCCAATGGACTAAGAAGATTAGAAGAGGTTGATGGTTCAAGTCACTCAGCCATCACATTAGGAAAGAGACCATATTTTCTACTAGCCGGCAAGTCCTAACCAAAAGACAGAAAAGAAATGTCTGTACAAGCTGCTGCTGCCGCACCAACAGAACACCGAGTACGATCTGCAGCAAGTCTGAATCTTTCGTCTCAGGGGATCCATCTCACTCTGCATTCTAAGCTGGCCACTACCAAGGATAATACCTACCTCCTCCAGAAATGCAATTTACTTCCAATCTCTACAGTACAAAATGCAATGACCTCCAGAAATGCAATGTCCTTCCTATCTCTACCAACCAGTCCCACCCACACCTCGTTCCTCCAATGCTCACCGCTAGTCCAAAAACCGAGTTCTTGGCCATGAGGATCTGCTGTGCTCTCATCAGGAGTTAGGACTGAAACCTCGCGGACGGTCCCAACTCTCTTCGATCACTGCTTATCTCGAATTCACTTGAGCTTGCCTTAGACTCGCTGTCTGCGTTACTGCTGTGGGCCCTCCGGCTCCGACGGTCCTTCACAGGATCAAAACACAAGATTCAGACTTATTGCACACAAAAAAAGCAGTATGTTTGTATCAGGGGGGTTAAAGCATGAGTACAACCTCTCGCGACGGGACATCTTCTGCCTCGAGCATCCGAACAACCTGCCCCATAGTGGGTCTTTTCTCAGAGTCTGGGTCAACACACCGCAGTGCCACTAGAAGGGCACGCTTCAGAGCCCGAGTGGTAGGTTTCAACTCCATGTCAGGATCCACCACTTCCTCAGCTCTTCTCGTGCCAACCATCATTTTGAGCCACTCAACCAGATGCACCTGCAAAGTGCCCATGTTGTAGCCGATTAACAATCAGAGTTGACAAGGCATTGTTGCTTCTACAAAATTAAAAAAATTACACTTGCCACAAGGGATACTAAGCATAAATGCAAGATAGCCATAATCTTGAAAACTGAAATATATTGTCTCCCATAGTAGGTAGATGCTGCTTTTCTGTGAAACAGATGGTCTCTGGTAGTCTGGTACACTCTGTTTCAGCAAGCATGATATGACAGCAGATACTCACCTCATTAGCAGGCCGACCATAGTCAACTGGATCCCTCCCAGTTACTGATTCCAGTAGTAGCACCCCAAAACTGTAGACATCGCTCCTCTCATTTAACAGACCTGTGTTGGCATATTCAGGGGCCACATACCTGAAACAGTAGCAAAAAAAAAGGTGAATGGTTCTTTCCATGTGATGCACCACAAAGTTTCCTTTGTAATACCGCATGCTCCAGTTAGTGAAGCAAGATACTACAAAATGAAAGAATATCAAGCAAACAACATACCCGAAAGTTCCCATAACTCGAGTTGTGATATGGCTCTTCCCTGCACCCAAGAGCTTGGCCAATCCAAAATCAGAAAGCTTGCCATTGAATTCTTCATCAATTAGGATATTACTAGATTTGATATCACGGTGCACAACTTTTGGTTCTATGGCTTCATGTAAATAAGCAAGCCTGTAGTATATTGCTAATTATAAAAATGCCTTACATAACAAAGCATAAGCATAAAAACAGAGGAAAAATATTGAATGGTCCACTTCTTACGCCTTAGCAATTCCAAGAACGATTTTCATCCGGGCTTCCCAAGTAAGAACACCATGCTGACGCATTGCACCATGAAGCCACTGCTCTAAATTTCCATTATTCACATACTCATACACAAGCATCCTGGAGTAAGAGCATATGATGAGGAGAACACTCAAAAAGATTACAAGACCATATACGATGTATGAAACAGATAGATTTCCATGGTTTACATTAACCACCGGAAGTGCTGAATGTAGATAGAGAATGCATATAAACATTAACAGCATCTAAGTTATTTTTAATACTCAAACTAAAATACAGTGTTCTCATTCAAAAATGTCTAACGACCAAGAATCGTTGCCCGCTATTAGCAGCTAAAACCAAGGAGAGGAGCATGATCCTGCTCTCTTCAATTCACATATACTGAATAAAAAACACTGTTGAAGACTAAAATGCATATCGAGAATTTTCTTGTAAAGAAATAGTAATCAGGGTATCACAACTTTATAGTTCTAAAAATCATGTAAACATGTGATAGCAGGTAATACAGTGCAGCAGTACATATGATTAACTGGGTGGCCTGGGTCTTGTGGATTTGACACTGCCTGGACAAATGACTCCTATCACCCACATACGGTGGAATTTAATTCATGGAGTCCATGTCTCTCACTGGCAGCAATGGCCAGCAAGGCTTCACTAGTCACTAGAAGCCTTTGAACCATGCTACAAACACCAAAACTGCCAGCGATGTGACATCATCAGTGCTGGATTCATCGATAAAGCAGATAACAAGTGCCCTATTAAATGGTTGGTTTGAGTTCATAGTGCCTAGAACAGCGCTACAGACAAAATGCATCTTTTCATCTGAAATGACAGATTAAAAGTTATATATGGCATCAACCCAACTCTCCTGTAAACTTTCTGTTTTGCTTATCTACCAAATTAGTTTCCTTCAAGGAAGTTCTCCTGGATTTTCTCTGAGATTCATCGATTGTTGTGTCCACACTCCACAGGGCACATGAAAAGCACATGGGCACAATTTGAGACCCATCTAAAATTCCATTTCAAATTATTTAGATTCCACAAAAGCACCAATGGGTACAAACTAGTTGTGTAGAATATTGCTTTGTCATTACTTTTATATATGTGCAATATGCAATTATGCATGGCTGATTGTCTTTTGCAAGGTGTAATTAGAGCTTATCTTCCGCACGAAGCCCTGTGTTACGATTAATGACTGGACAAGGATGGAGTGGAGGAAGAAAGTGCAGGAGACAAAGGGTTTGACGGGCACTGAGTATTTAACAGGGACGTATAACAGAATGAAACAGGGTAATTAAGCTGTGCCAAAATAGTAATCTGAGCCAGCACAGCCATATGTTGGCAAAATGATTTGCCAATGGTGCTATAGAGGCAATATTGCCCGGTGATTATGATCTAATGGATAATATATCATGAGCTGAAATTGGAATAGTTCAATGAATGTACTAGGGCAGATGCATTCTCAAAGTCAGATGAACTGTTAGATTTTTTTCAGGGTTTAAAGTTCAAGATTTTATCATGAAACTAGAATGCGATTATATATGTATCAGTAGTCATCTTATTCAGGCACATATGTATGGCAGCCGAGCTGATACAAAATCTAGCCATCAGTCAGTGCAATTGATCAGAAATCAGCTTCACCTATGTATTCCCTCGACGCAATATCCAAGAAGGCGGACAAGATTCTTATGCCTGACATGTCCAATTGCCTCAACTTCAACCCTGAACTCCTTTTCTGCTTGACCCCTACAATGACATATCAAACACTATCAGTATGCTGAGACCATCAAATACGGCAGAACAATATTACAAGTCCGATATAGAAGGTGTCCTTTTAGGTTAAAAATAAACTCCAGAGGTTCTTACATGTTATTAAGGAGCTTCTTTATTGCAACATCAGTACCATTTATGAGGCGACCACGGTAAACAACTCCATACCCGCCTTCCCCAATGACATTCTCCTTAGAAAACCGATTCGTCGCGTGCTCCAAATCCCTCAAAGTAAACCAATGGCCCCAACCCAGGTGCGAGAACTCTGGGAGACCAACCAACGGCGACGCGGAAACGGTCGCATACTGAGCATACTGCCTCCTCGCATTGCCCGAGCTACCTTCGTCGCCAGAGTATGAGCTCCCAGCCCTTTCGCACTGGTACGCTGCGGAGCTGCACTGGCTCAGATTATCAGCATCGCTCGACTTGCTCCTAACCAGGTGCGCCAGCATTTTCCCTGAATCCTTCTCGGCGTAGTGCTTCTCCTGCACCTGCACGGCCAGTGCGTGATGGCTTTCCTGTGCGCGGAGGTTGTGGACAACGGCGGCGTGCTGCTCCCGCACCTCGTCCACCGCAATCTCCTTGGAGACGTCCGGGATTTGGGACACCGGAATCTTATCGCAGCAGGGCTTGTTGTTGCCCGGCTTCTTGTTCCTCCGGTGTACGGACCAGAAGCACATGAAACCGAGTACGAACAGGATTAACGCCCAGATACAGATGCCAATCACAACCCATAGCCGCAGGCCGAACGGCGGCGTCCTGGAAGATAGCTCTGCCCTCAGGATTTCGCCCGCGGACATCTTCGTTATTCCTCAGCAACCTACAGAGGCAATAGCAGCGGTAATGCGATGTCAGCTTCGCACTCCGCCGAAGAAGACAATGGATACAAGCGGACCCGGCATAGCATTATCACCCCTATAAATTTCGCGGAGAAAATGGAAGCTAGCAGGTATTAGCTGCGATTGGGTCAGATCCGAACACGAGTAGCTCGCATTTAGGTTTGGAGTGCGAGTGCGAGGGCTCCTTTTCCCACGGCAGGAAGGAAAGCGGAGGAAATGGGCGGGCGTACGCGTACCTGGTGGATGCTCGTCGGTGGTCGCCGGCGAAGCGGCCGACGAAGACCTGGCGAAGGGGCGGCGCGCTCGCGGCTCACCCAGTCGCCGCCGCCAGCCCCCACTAGAAGAGGAAGAGAGAGCGAGCGAGAGTGAACGGGAGAAAGGGGGGAAAAACAAAAAAGAGAGGGAGGAGCGAGCGCGGACTCACAAAAATCCTCAGCCGTTGCCACACAGTGGGTCCCACAGTGGGAGTGGGGTGTGGGAGTAGCAACGTACGGAGTTCTCCCCATCGGGGCCACCCACGCCTAGATCGACGGCTACAGATTACAAGACCCCGTCAAACTTCAGTTATTGAGGTTTTCTCTTCAGAACACGCTTCCTACGATCCAGGAGATTGGAAATGAGGTGCCTCTCGATCCATCAAGCTTCATTAATCAAGCATTTTTTTCTGAGTTTTCGACGGTTGAAGCGATTGAAAATGATATGCTTTTACAGTTGATGATGAAGTGTGAATAGGTGTAAATGCGCATTGCTCTCTTCTTTGGTAGGGTTTTTCTCTCTAGGTCTCGTTCGATTCGCTGGCCAAAACATTGTTCCGGCTGATTTGTTATGAGAGAAAAAACACTGTTCCGGCTGAAAAAACAAGTTGAAAAATACGGATTATAAAAGAAGCGAATAGGGGCCTAGAGTCTAAACTTGGAGAAAGATTACAAGGCAAGTCAGACTGCTAGGCACGGGTGATGCAAAATGGTTGGATGGTAATAGTTGGGTCATAGACGACAGAGACACGGTTTAGCATGGAGAGACACCAATGCATACTTAATCAGAGATATTCAGAAGTAAACAAGAAGATTTGATCTAATTTCTTTGGCACCAAATAAAAAGTAAAGTCATCCAATTAATCAGGCTCAAAAGAGAAAACACATAAGATCATTAAAAGGAGTCCTTGAAAATACTAGCTCACACCATTTTAGGTAGAGTAGCTTATAAGCAGAAGTGCCACCGGAGAGTAGGGTTGGCGTTGTACTTTGTAAATTCTCAAGGGCATCATACACACCATCTAGAGTAACCTTTAACTCTTCAAGTACTAATGGTACTACCCTGCGTGTGCTTCTTTCCCTTCCTCCATTTCAAGCTATATATTAGGTTTTAAACTCCTTCCCTTTGTTGTGTTAGTATCGGCGAGAAAAGATGGCGACGATAGGCAAGCCAATTTCAAAGGGGGGAAGACAATGCTAGAATTCGTTGGGGGAGGGGAGATGAGGCAACACTACTTTTTTGAAAAAGCAAGCGAACATACATGTATTGTGGCGAAAATTAAACCACACGAAGAAATAAACAAAACAATTACAGAAGTTTGGTCTACGTGGCTGAAATACTTAACATAAAACACCTCCTTTGTTGAGGTTTTCATTTAATGCACTTTGTGAGTGGGTGCTAGTAACGGTATCCTTCTTTGTCGCAAAGTGGAGAAATTGACACTTCTGCTATGAAACATGTAGTTACGCACTGATGATAACATATGTTAATCCATGAGTGATTACATGTCCATGGAATCGTATTTAATTAATAATCAGCCATGATAAAATATTTTCATAAAATGTTATGAGATATGGAGAAGTTGAGTATCAAGGCAGTCCTAAGTTAAATCATGTGAACACTCAAAAGAAAAAAGAAAAACTGTGTTCGGCTGGTGGACTGAACAGTAGATTTTGGATGGTTTTGGATGATTCAATAGTGTTCTGTGAGAGAGAATAAGCTGAAACAAGTTAAAAGTGTACCAGCCGAACACAGAATAAGTGTGTTAACTGAAGTGTAGTGACTCGCGGCTACTCCCTCTGTCCCCAAATTCAAGTCATCTGTCCCCAAATTCAAGTCATCTGAGGATTCAAAATTTGTCAAGGATAGTGGACGCGTCCGCAGTGTGCGGTTCGATACCGGTCCTATCTTTTATGGAGCCAGGTCGATACATTGTGTCGCTGGTTCGGTGAAGAACCTGCTCCCATCGATCGACAGCCTGTTCGGTTGGTTGGTTTGTTTCGTCGCTGGTTCGTGAAGAAGTACTGCTGACTGGTTTGTGTAAGAGAAAAATATTGTTTCGATTAAAATTTACGATCTTTTACGATAAGCCACAGCCAAACCAACATGCTACGAACCCGCTCTCATCCACCGTTCTCTCTCCTGCCGTTCCGGCCACGCCCACAGGAGTACAGGACGCCACCCTTGCTACCAGTGTTTTTTTAATGTCGTGGGCTCCACTTATAGGTCCTGTTGGTGTTGGTTCGATACATTGTCACATTTTTAGAGCGTGTTTAGTCACGGGAACTTGAAATTTAGAGTTACTGTAGTATTTTTGTTTTTATTTGGCAATTAGTGTTAAATATAGATTAATTAGGCTCAAAACGTTATCTCGTAATTTTCCACCAAACTGTGCAATTAATTTTTTTCGTCTACATTTAATACTCCATACACATGCCACAAACATTCGATGTGATAGATGCTGTAGTATTTTTTGAGATTTTGGATAGAATTAAACACGCGCTTAAAAAGTGACATCAAATCAACGGATAGAACCAGGGCCAATCCTATACACTGCTGATGCCCAGCCCAGCATATGTGTCTAATCCTAACACGTCGTACTGTCAAACGTCAAGTCGCTTAGCCTGAAGATGCATAAAAATGCAAAAGAATCTACCTATGACGTCCACGAGTGCAGAGGCGCGTTAGATCTAAAAAATTTTTGCGTTTAGATGCCTTTCGTTGTTATTTGGTTTTGACTAATTAGGTTCGAAAGTTTAAGTCTCGCAATTTCTCGATCAACTGTGCAATTAGTTTTTTTATTTACGACAATTACGTGTCTGCCGAGATTATAGAAATTCAAAATTTTGGTTTTTGGGTTCCATCTAAACGGGGCCTAAGGCCGCGTTTTGATGCCAAAAATTTTTGATTTTGGTACTGTAGCATATTTGTTTATATTTGGTAATTAGTGTCTAATTATAGATTAATTAGGTTCAAAAGTCTCGTCTCGCGATTTCTCACCCAATTGTGTAATTAGTTTTTTTTCTCTATATTTAGTACTTCATATATGTCGTAAAATTCGATGCGATGAATAATACGTAAAAATTTTGGAATCTAAACAGGCCCTAAACAATGTTTCCTGGCCGGAGCGCAGCTCCCAACCTCCATCTGCAGTACGTTTGCCGACTTGCCGTCAGGTGCAGCGATTCCTTTATAGGGGTATTTTGAGTATTTTCGCTTTCACATTGGTCTTCGGGACGAGCTCTTGGACGTCTCTTAATCTGGAGACGGAGGGAGTACATAGTTAAGGTGCGCACTACCAATTTGGTAGTACTAAGTTATTTGTTAGGGGTGTGCTTGAAAGGTGTTGAGGTAGTGCTTGTTTAGAGCAAAATTTTACAAATTAAAACTGTTTTGTTTGTATTTGATAAATTTGTGAAAAACTTAGAATGTTGCAATTAATTATTTTTTTGGTTTAAGCTATTTGCATTCATCCGATTCGATAACCTGACTTGGATTTTGATGGGATCTAAAAGGCCTAGATTGTACTATGAATTTGTGAAAAACTTAGAATGTTGACGTGGTAAGCTATTTGCATTCATCCGATTCGATCGACCTGACGGTACTTCGCCCATTCATAATTAAGGTTGCACAGTCTCCATAGAGGCCCACAGCTCGCTTCCAAAGTTCCAGGCTTCCAGCACAAGCGACGAGCCTCGAGGCAGCAGCATGCTGGGCCCACAAGCCATCGAGTGTACCGTATTCTCGTGTTGGTTAGCGGCGTGTATGACCGCGTGAGGTGAAACGGAAACGGGCACGCGGCCCGAAGGTTCGCTGTCGCGCTCGCGCACAGGTGCACTCCGTGCTGATCGCAGTGTGCAGTGCAGCGCCAGCTTCATGCCCGTTGCTCGCCAGGCCTCACGGCAGGGCCGTGAGCTATTCATTCTGTTCGCTGACGCTGAAATTTAAATTATCCTTATTTTTATGTTTAAATGTTGTAAGAGAAAAATATAATTCTATAACTAAAAAGTAATTCTGAATAAGCTTAAACGAACAGAGCCAACCAGTTCACGGTCCAGCTGGAAAATGGTGTGGCATCTATCTATCTCTGCTTTCGTTTATTATTATTATTTATATGTCACCAGTGATTTATTACTATAGCAAACTTGATGATCTGGATTTGTTTAGATATTTCAAGAATATATATGATTACTAAAGTATGTTTAGCCACAAATCATGCGGGTATGATTTTTTTTAAGTACCTAAGAATTATTAGCACGATAAGAATTGCTATAGCCTATAGTAAAAACTCTGGTGCCAAGTAAACCAAAACAGAGAGAAGAACCTGCTTCAGTATTTTGCAACGGGCTCATAAAGATTTGTGTGTGTAATAACGTATTATCTGATCGTACAAAGTGACATTTCGGAACATTTTATTGATTGATTTTCATTGGATTTCAGTTCCAAATCACAATACATACAAATGCACTCGCCTCCCCTTTGAATGTGTGCGTACACTCTACGTCTGGTCAGCTCTAGCAGGGTTCATACTCGAGCACACAAATCCTCCCTCCGGCACCTATTCCTGGGGCTCTAGGCCAAGCCCCCAAAAGGACGATTTCCGTCATTTCTTCCCCGCATGCTCGCCTTCTCCCTGCTTGTGCCGCCGCTTCCCCCGTGCGCGACTCCCCCTGCCCGTGCGCGAATTCCCAATAGTGACCGCGACT